ACCAGTTTAAGTTCACTAGAATGATAGCAAGTAAAAGGTTAAACGGAACAACTCAGAAAAGATCAATAAAGCCAAAGTGATTTCCCTTACCTTATCGAAAACATCACGGACATTCGCTTCAGACTCACCAAACCACATGGTTAGCAGCTCTGGTCCTTTAATAGATATAAAGTTTGCTTGACATTCGTGAGCGATAGCTTTAGCCAGTAACGTTTTGCCACAACCAGGAGGCCCATAAAACAAAACTCCACGAGATGGCTGCATCCCGAACTTCAGGTACTTTTCAGGATGTTCAACCGGATACTAACATGTAAGCAAATAAATTCATTGAAGTCAGCAGCAGTTAAACGCGTACGCGTACCACTAAGAACTAGGCATTACCTGAACAAGTTCCTGTAGTTCTTTCTTAACATTTTGCAAGCCCCCAATGTCTTCCCAAGTAACATTTGGTGTTTCAACAGTAGTTTCACGTAGAGCTGATGGAGTTCCTTTATTCATGGCAAACTAAAAGACTGATAATTATAAGATAAAATAAAGGGTCCCAAAAACTTTCGACCAGGCAGAACCGATACATAAATAGAGCAAAATGAGTAACAGACACGGAAATTGTCCATTGTTACGGCCAACGAGTTCAACACTTCAGCATCAATTGTTTCATCTTCTAAATCGATTAATTCCATCTTCTCACGGATCTGCTGTAAAGCCGCCTCAGAGCAGAGTGATGCAAGATCTGCACCAACATATCCATGGCATTCATTAGCAACCTAGTCAAAAAAATAAATAGCAAACTTCCAAAATTTTAAAAAATCAAGCTTTGATAGCCTTTTCTGTCCAAACCAAATCACCATTCACCTTACAAACAAAGAAGAGCGTAAGTAAACACAAATTTTAAAAATAAATGACACCTACCTGTTCCAAATCTACATCGTCAGATAATCGCATATTTTTTGTGTGGATACGAAGTATCTCTAAACGGCCAACAGCATCAGGAATCCCAATGTCAATTTCTCGATCAAAGCGGCCAAATCGGCGGAGTGCAGGATCTATCGAATTTGGCCGATTAGTGGCAGCCATTACAACGACGTGGCTCCTTTGCTTTAGTCCGTCCATAAGAGTCAATAACTGGGAAACAATACGCCTTTCGACTTCACCGTGCGTCTGAAATACCAAACTTCTATCACAGTTCGGTACTAAATACGATAACTGGGAAAATAAATGCTGTCAGACAAAAAATACAGTGAAGATGCTAATAAAAGACTATACTTTTTCTCTTTTTGGCGCTATAGCATCTAACTCATCGATAAACAATATTGCAGGAGAGTTCTTTTCACATTCCTCAAAAGCTTTCCTTAAATTTGACTCTGATTCACCAGCAAGCTTGCTCATTATTTCCGGCCCTAAAAGTAATCAACTATAAAGAGATACATGGCAAGGAAATCCAGGAAAATAAGCTTCTCACCATTTAGTAAGAAGAAAAACGCTCCAGTTTCGTTTGCAACCGCACGAGCGATTAAGGTCTTGCCTGTACCAGGAGGCCCATACAACAATATACCACGTGGTGGCTGAAAATCAACTTGTATAAATTCAATAGAAGTTTTAGAACAAAAACCAGATGGTATTTGCTGCTCAGGAAGTGCTGTTTTTCGAGATCACAGTGATACTGTCCACCACAGCATACACTGCAACCAACCCGGTACACATATCAACCGGTTTCAGGACCCCTGCACAACTCATCATGGCAGTAGGCATCTGAAAGATGCTTGAAATTTTAAGCTGCTGGGGCAGATAAAAACCAAACCTTAACACCAATGGCTTTAAATAGTTGTGGATGTCTTAGTGGCAATTCAACCATTTCCTTGATTTGTGCCAGTTGTTTCCTTACTCCACCAATATCATCATAGCCAACATCCGTCATGCTTTCTTCCTCTTCTTCTCTCTTCACAGG